CCCCAAAACCCCAAAACCCCAAAACCCCATAGATAAAAGTATTTTAAAATTTCGAAAAGTAAAAAGAAAAAGTGAAAGTATCAAATGTTTAATATGTTAACTGCGATAGTATATATACTATTATACTTAATGCTATTGAAATTGAAATTTCCTTAAAGATTATTCAATCAATTACTTAATATATAAATCAGAATGGAGTCTACTAACTATTTCCAAGATATTCCTTACAAGTCTAGAATTACCCCTCAACTCACTGTTATTTCAGGCGATGATTAATCTAAGATTGATGAATTGAAACAACAGGGTATCCAAATAATAGGAACTCACTCTGATTACTTCCATTGTGACGAAGTGTTAGCCACAACAATGCTACTTTACACAAACAAATTCAAGGATTCTGCCATAGTAAGGACTAGAAATGAACCAGTTCTCGATACTTTAGACATAGTCTGCGATGTAGGTTCTGTTTTCGACCCAGAAAAGCTCAGATTTGATCATCATTAGAAGTCCTTCGATACCTACTGGTATGAAAATGACACAAAAGATAATGGTGGAATCAAGCTTTCTAGTGCAGGTCTAATCTACAAATTTTTTGGCAAAGAAGTTCTTGCTAACATTCTGGAAGAAGTTTGGCAATCTAAGTATACCGAGGAGCATCTCGATAAAATTTATAAAAAGTTATATCCAGGGTTTTTCCTCGAAATAGATGCTATTGATAATGGTGTGACCTTAGCCAAGGATATGAAGTACAAAATAGTAACAGATTTGAGTTACAGAGTATCTAGATTTAACAAAGAATGGAATGCCCCTAAGGAAAAAGATCAGTAATTGCAATTCAAAAAGGCCATGAGATGTGCAGAGGAAGAATTAATGTATCAAATCAAAGCAGTCTCTCAAATTTTCTTACCAGCTAGAATTGTTGTAGAAGAAGCCTGGAAGAACAAGGATGACTTCCACGCAAGTGGAGAGATAATGTTCATTGAGACTGTTTGTCCCTGGAAAGAACATTTATATGAATTAGAGAAGTTAAACAAGAATGAGAATCTTATCAAATTCGTTATCTACAAAGATGACAGAAACATGAATAGAGTTCAAACTGTGGGAATAAAGGGAGATTAATTTGGATAAAGAGTCACACTTAGTAAGAAATGGCATGGTCTTAGAAAGCAAGATTTTGAAAAGATTGAAGGCTTTGAATTGAAAGATATGGAATTTGTTCATCATAGTGGATTTATTGGTGGCGCCTGGTCGATGGAAACTGCCATCAAGATGGCTGAGATCTCTATTTAGGAGCATAATGAAGAGCAGGCTGCAAAGGCTGCTAAATTAGCGTAAGAAAACGAAGAGAAGACTTAATTAGAGCAGAAACCAATTGAATAGCCCGAGTAATGATATTTAGAATTCCAATTAATATTATCTCAATTCACTAATATTTTTATGTGGAGGGGTTTTGGGGTTTTGGGGTTTTGGGG